ATGCTTCTGTGGGACACTCCATGCACCCCAGCATTGCAGTGTTCATAAGCCCCTGCTACCTAGAGGTATGGAGAAAAAACATTTAAAGCTGTGCCTATGTTCAAATCTCCGAATCGATTTGGAGAGATTAAAGGGTCCTCTGATTAGATACACCCACCGAATCGGGCCGAATCCTCTACTGAATCGAACCAGGGACGTAAGCTTTGCACAGCCCCACTGACTCAGCAACCCAATGTATCCTTATAACAATTTGCAACATATATAAAAAAGGCAGGGAAATTAAATATACTGCCTATATTACACTAAAATACCTCCTTCTTCCTCTATCCCCTTCCCCACCCCCTCAGAAAGAAAAAAAAAAAGCCCCAGCATGATGCATTGGATTCAAATAAAGAATAAAGGCCTCCACCTCGGTCCTACTGAAGTTAACGAGACATTTCCTGGAGCTGGTCTTTTCTGCAAAACCTACTAAAAACCCTATCACTTTTTCAGCTCTCTAGATTGAACACAGACCTCAGTACTCAAGGTACTGAGGAAAAATAACACTTCAAGTATGTTGACTACAAAACCCCCCAGTTTAACTTCAGAGTATGTTTCAGCTGTAAAACTTCAAGAAAATGCACCTTTACCCTTTCTCTTCAGTTACACAAACTATTTTAAATGAAAATAGTTCACATATTGACAAGAATGATGTGGCTGCAGAGACCTCTGATGGTAGCAGCAAGTGCTCCAGGCTGGCCTTATGTGCACCCAACCTCAGCTCCATATGGTGCATGAGGCCCATCCAGCATGCACCACATATGATGTGTGGGTCCACTCTGAGACCCACAGGCAGCATTCTGGGCCACATGGGCTGTATATTTGATGCCCCTGGTTCCAGTGCATAAGATAATGTCTTCTCCTGACATACAAGGTCTAGAATTGAAGAGCATTGTTTATGCCAATGCTACATAATGAAAAATAACTGAAATCACTGCTGACCAACTTTCAATTTAAGTTACTTTTCCATAATTGTGTCCTTTTGTGTGTAGGGGATGCATAGTATATACCAGAGAGGATGGTATGCATTACATGCTACAGAATTAGCCTAACAATGCAATATATTTATAATCTTACTTAACTTCTTCCTATAGAACTCACTAAGTTTGTGGCATGCCAGCCACGTGGCAAACAGTAAGGCTCATATTGTGAAGCAGTACGTTCTAAAAAAGCTTGCATTTTTCATACCTGCATTGTGCTTTGCCAAGTATTTGTCTTTGTACTGTTTCTTTTTCTTTCCAAACCAAGTACAGCTGGCTTGCTGCTCCTGTTTGGTCTTCTCCATGGCAATGCAAGCTACTCGCCTGGCAGGGGAAGAGGGAAAATTCATTAGCTGTTGTTGCAGACAACATAGTGCATGGGATTTCTCCTTCACTGATGGATTCATTTTGTTACTATAAACACATTTTAAAAATGTCATGTCCTGCTTTATAAAAAGGACACTATTTTAATTTTCAAGTGTACAGTTTGACTTTTCTTGAAAACTTTAAACATTCAGATAATGAGATAAATATTCAAATACTGAAGTCCTCTATTTACAATGGCTGTTTGAAGAGGTGCAGCACTGAGCTCCCCAGACCAAAGAAAATAAGGTGGCTAAGATACTTTTAAGCTACCTTTGAACTCTTCTGATTCTGGGCTGCTGCGAGAAGTTAGACAGTAGTCAAAACCTGGATAAGTGAAAGTCCTCAAGTTGTTCTCTGGGATTCACTGCTGCTAAATATTTCCAATACTGCATGTGTCCTTACTATGAAAGGCCTGACCCACTTCACAGTCCAGTTTATTCCTTATGCAAACGCTTGCATGGGGTCCTTGAAAGGCAGCCTATCTGCCTCAGTGTTAGTATTGGGAAAAGGATCCCACAACTGGAACTGAGCTTCTTAGGGGCTCTTTATGTTGTTCTGGTCCTTTTACCTGACACCATAGAACCAAGAACAGAGATGAAGATATCACCTGACATATTTAGGGCTTCACCTTGCTAACAGATATGCATGCACCCATCTTTAATTACAACTTTTACCAACTCTATTTACATAAACAGGACTGCATGGTGGTATTTGTATGAAAGGGTGCACCCTGATGCATTTTAAAGGTTTATTTCAAAGTTTGCCTTCTGCTGATCAAAAGCATTGGGGTTCTCTTGCAGTGGTTGATGATATTATCATCTCTTGATACTGAAGATTAGGCAGATGTCCTATATATGCTAGTGAGATTATGTTGCTGATGTGGCAAAGGAAAGAACACTGGACTATGGTCCGAGTAGCTAACTAAAACTCTGCTCCAACAGTGCATGGAAGGTATGAGTCCCACTGAAGACAGTTATGCTAATGTGCATTGCAAGATCAGGGCCTATAAGAGCATCTGGTTAGTCTTTTTTTGTCATAAAAATGTGCATGCATATCTGAGTATGTAATTTTTAATCCAGGATGGAAATGAGCAAAAGATGATAGGGCTCTAATGTGCTTTGGGTTTTACTAAAGAAAAGGAAAGTATTTCAGTAGATTTCTACATGCAGTCCTGAAGTATGCATGCAGGCAAACTCTTGCAACTGTACCTGCATAGAAGACATAACTATGGCTCACAGAATTTGACCTGCAGCATATACCAGATTTTTGGAGGTTGGTAAGAAAAACCTCACACAAATACTAGCTGTATGATAATACAGAATTGTAAAGAAGATATATACAACAAGAATCAAGATATTTTCACTGAAAACATACCATTCCTGAAGCTCAGGAGAAGGAATAAGACCTGCAGTACCATTCTTGGAATTCTCCAGTTTACCCTGCCACCAGTTATGATCGTCTTTGCTAATGATCTGTATAATGTCTCCAACTCTGAATCTGATACCAGCTTCTTTGCAGGGAATGAGGTCATCCTTTGCTGGATCATATTCAAATTGTGCTCTTACATATATCTATAAAACAGGAGTTTGTAAGAAACACCGACATATTAATGCTCATATTACAAATGGTTTGTGAAAATTTGATCTGTGCATCTAGCTACCATATACTGTATGCATACAAGCAGAGGAAGAACTGAATGGTGAAAGTGTAAATGACAGCTGAAAATGGAAACAGTTGAAAATGAAAACAATGGGGGGAAAGTGATGTTACTTAATGCTTGTGACTTCTGTGTAGCATAAAATCCTAGCAGTAACAGCAAATGCATTTCTTGCTATTCGGAGACTCTTATGTATACATCTTTATTAAATTTTCTGATGACAGTCTATAACTGCATATTATTAGCTATAATCTAAAATTACAGGTTGAAGGCCAAAACTATATTTTATGGTTTGAATTGTATTTTATAGTCAATCAAAGCTATATACATTTTCAAGTTGGACTACATATTTTATGATTCTGACAGTAAGAATATTACTGTATAATAGTTTTAGGCTATGTCACTAATTATAAAAATTCATTCAGTCTTAACATTTTAAGTACAACTGTCACTAGTTACAATAGAAAAATCAAATGTACCTATCAAATGTACTTGCTTGGATGAGGTCTATGTAATCTTTGCAGAATTTAAACTAGTGCAAATTCTCAGTTATATGAACACTAATGCGCAACAAAAATGTTAAGTAACTGCTGTTCTTTCAGTATTAGTCTCTTACTCGTGTGTCACCCGAGGACAATAGTGTTAAAATGAACAGTCAGAAAACATTATGCTCTAAGGAGCAAAAACAATAAGAGGAATTAGAATTCTCACTGCATGATTTTAAATGATGTCACAATGCTTTGCATTTACTTCTGATTATGTTATTAATGAGGCAATCAACTCTTGGATAGGAACAATTATTCTGAACTCTGGTTTTGCTAGCTCATGAAGGCCACTCTGCATCACAGGACCTCAAAGGAGGAGTTAAATGTCTCAACTAATGTCAGAAACAGCATCCAAGACAGAACTGAAAATATAACCAGGGCCCCTGACACTTAGAGCTCCATCAGACCAGATGGGTCAGCTTGGGGATTCTGTCTGTGCACAACTTATGAATTCTGAGCAATTGATAAACTTTATGAGCTCTTTTTCATTTCAATCCTCAGAGCCGGTCAACACCAGGATACTTAGGAAAGTTAAAACTAACCAACAAAAGGTTAGTCCCTAATTTACAGCGCATTAATTCCAAGCATGGAGGCTCTTATTCAGGTTGAAAGCTCTATCTTAATCCTCCCAGTTGATGCACTCTAACTTTCCTTTATGTTCCCATGTATGTAAGCCCTCAGCCATTTGCTGACGAAGAACACATCATAGCACAACTGTGCCCAGAAGCAGGACAATCAAATAAATTGTTATCATGGCTTGACTGCACCCTAGTAGAACACAGAATATGTTAAGGAGATTGGCAAAGCTAAATGACATTGCTTATCCCAGGTTGTCTGTGAGGAGGGGAAGGGGTTGAAATTAAATTCCTCAGGAGAAAAGCAGAGCATAGAAAATATAAGTAGTGAAGGAGACACATGATCTCCAGCTAGGGGAACCACTTAGCCTGGTCTATGCTATTTAGTTTTGCTGGCACAGGTATGTTGGTTAGTGGTGTGAAAATACACATCCCCTGGCTGACACAGCAATGTAGGCAAAACACCAAGTTCTACAGTAGATCTGATAAGACAGCGCTCTGGCTGGCCTACCTAATGTCTTTTGTGAAGTTTGTGCATCTTTGTTGATAGATAAACCCCTTGTGTCACCATATACCATGTTTACAGAAAGGGATTCTGCTTACAGAGCCACAGGACAGTAGTAGCTGCATAATGAAAACCAGTCCACAGGGATTATCATCCCTGAACAAGATAGAGACAATGTGTTACAGTGACAAAGCAGCAAGAGAAACAGAGATTTAGAAGGCTGAACAGGAGGAGGAGAGGGTTTTGAGGCCCTGAAAGAAGTGACCAAAAACTTCACGCAGTTCTCACAGCTCAGGGATCATGGATATAAAGGTTTCTGCTATTTCTGAATCTCTCTACGTGAGCTTTTGTTCATGAAAGCTTATGCATTTCTTATTCAGTTGGTCTATAAGGTGAAAGTTTATCATCACCTCACTTCTTTTCAACTTCAGCTTCAGTACAGCTGTAACTATCTAGTAATATTGCCTAGATGATAATATTTATGGCAATATTGAAATAACCTCATTCATCTTTCACCACTGCACTCAACAGCACAGAAGAAACAAACCTAAAATAGTCTATCACTACTCATTTGCATCTGAAATGTATTTTATCTGTTTAAAATGAAAGTATCTCTTGACCAGCGGACCGGTGCTTTTCAACATCTTTATCAATGATTTGGATGGGGGAGTGAAAAGCTCGCTGGCCAGGTTTGCGTATGACACCAAGTTATGGGACAGTGGGGCCACTCCAGAAGATAGGCTGCAGATACAGGTGGACCTGGACAGGCTTGAGAGTTGGGCAGACTGGAACTAGATGAAGTTTAACACTTCCAAGTGTAAGGTGCTCCATCTGGGGGTAAATAACCCTCAACATACATACAGGTTTGAAGGTGACAGCCTGACTGGCACCATGGCCAAAAGGGACCTAGGGGTAATGACTGACCACTGCATGAACATGAGCCATCAGTGCGATGCGGTGGCTAGCAGAGCAAGCAACACGCTGGCATGCATCAACTGATGCATCTCGTGTAAAACTAAGGAAGTGATACTCCTGCTGTATTCAGCGCTGGTGAGACCACAGTTGGAGTACTGCATCCAGTTCTGGGTGCTGCACTTTAATAAGGACATGGAAAAACTTGAGAGGGTCCAGAAAAGAGCCACCCGTATGATCAGGGACTTGCAAGACAAGCCATACAAGGATAGGCTGAGGGACATGGGCCTCTTTAGCCTAAAGAAGAGAAGGGTGAGAGGGGACTTGATAGTGGCTTACTACTATATCAGAGGAGTGCATCAGGAGCTCGGGGAACAACTGTTCAGTAGGGCACCCCTGGGGAAGACCAGGACCAATGGATATAAACTCCTTGAAGGCCACTTTAGGCTTAATACCAGGAAAAACTCCTTCACAGTCTGGGTGACCAGACTGTGGAATAAACTCCCTCCAGAGGTAGTGCAATCACCTACCTTGGAGGTTTTCAAGAGGAGACTGGACAGTCACTTCCCTGGGGTCACTTGACCCCAGTTGTCTTCCTGCCTAGAGCTGGGGGGCTGGACTCGATGATTTGCGAGATCCATTCCAGCCCCTAACAATCTATGAATCTATGACAAGGGCCGAAGTACAGGACCCAATATTCAATATTTTAAAATCTTATTATCACTCTGTCACTGATTAACCACAGGCAAGTCAGTTAACGTCTTTCTTTGTAGTGCACGTCTATAAAAGGGGGATTTAAAAACCACACACACACACATTTTAATCTCTATTTACTAATTTATTTTCTGGGATTTGGTCAATATTGAATTGAACTTTGGTAGGGACTGGGTAGAAATAGCAATCAGTAATCTGTACCCTCTAGGAGGTTCCTCCTTTCTTTTCTCTCCTCCTTCTAGCTTGAGTCTTGCCTATATATAACATCCCTACAGTGGCAGCTGTGGCTCTTTGTGGAAAGTTTCAGATCTCTTTAAATGTATATGGTGTGACAAACATCTACAATGGTCCAAACTCCTTTCTGGCTCAAAGGTGAAGCAAAGAGCTGGGCTGGGAAACAAGGGGCTTCAAGTGGAAAGTAATTGTTCAAAGGGAACTGGGAGAGTTGTAAATGGTAGAACAAAGAATAAGGGAAAGCATGAAAAACAGCTCTTCTACTGTCCTGGCCAAATGGATGGCCCCCTAAGAAAAATATTTTAAGGGAAAAAAATTAGTTATCTGACACTCCCTCCCCCCCATGCAAAAATAAAAACAAAAAAACCCACTTAAAGGGCATTTCACAGATAGCCCTTGTAATTTATTCTCAGTGTTCAATAGAGTTAAAGCTAAGGGCTGAATTCCTGATTTGCATTCAGAGCCAGATGCTGGAAAGGCTAGGCCTGTAAGAAATCATTGATGAAGATGGACCAGGAATCTCTTGCTGCTACATGCTAGTTTAAAAGCTGCAACAAAGAAAAACAATTTACAACTTCAGAGGAGAATGCAAGGGGGCACTGGCAGAACTTTATAAAGGTTTTCTTTGGAACCTTCTCAGGAGGGAAAAGTCCTACTTTTGTGTGCAGCTAGTTAATTCAGGTCAGGATACAAGGATGAGAGGTGCTGAAAAAAACCTGAGATCTCCCGTATGTTAAATCAATACAGAGGCAATGGAGGCCTCCTGGCTCTTTCACTTTCTCGGACTCTAGGGGCATGCCCCCATGTGTAAGGGCATGTAATTTGTGGCACCACAAACTGCACACAGGGAACGTGAAAATGTGTGCTGCACTGCAAATTTTTGGCCTGGTGACAGAATTTGCTATTGGGAAATCCTGGTAGCAAAAAAACTGCTCAGAGTATAAAAGCAATGCAGAAAATACATCAGTAATGTGTACCAGAACAAATGGAGGGCTGGCCATCCAGAGCAATGCTCTGGCTGCTGGCCAAGCTCTTCCCTGCCTGATCTGTGCCCCTGCTGTACCCAGGACACCAGGTAATACTGCTGAGACCAGCACAGGTGCTGGCCTCAGTCTCCCCTACCCCTACTGGGACAATCTGCTGTGCACCAACGCACATGTGCAGGGGCATGCGATGGGGCACAAAGCAGTGGCACAAATTTGTGCTACTGCTATTTGCGCCTCTACAAGTGCACACCCCTACATGTGGGGATCCTCTCTAGATGCACCAGAGGGAGGGAACTGGAACCAAAATTCCCTTCCTTTGATAATGGTGGTGAGGTCTGGATTTGTGTTGCACTCAATTACCATCCACCTCCACTGTAGCACGTGACCTTTGTTTTCTCTACCAGTGTGAGAATATGGTCTGCTCACTGTAGGCCAAATTTTGCCACCCATTTTCATGTGGGGTATTACTCTATAAGTATTCATGAAAGGTCCTTCCCAATGAGAGCAAAAGTGGCAGCATGTGTGCGCAAAATTAGTTGCAAAAGACCAAGTGTTCCTGAAGCCATGCACATGTGGCAAAATATATTTCAAATTGATGCATATACACAACACACGCAAACAGAGGCATGTGCATATATCTGTATATTTAAGTGTATATTTATTGCAGTCAGCTAGTTCCCCACCTGCAAATACCTAAGTTAATGGCTATCTGAACTAAGCTGCTTGTTAAATGCTACAGCCAAACCAAAGCTGGAAGATATTCAGTTTTAGAGGTATGAGCCAAAGCTTATCAAAATCACAAAGAATGATCAAAACTAAAATCTGCAATCTCTCCCACTTAAATTCATTTGCTCAAAATTTTACTGCAGAAATCTATACCTTGACATGAGATGTGATGTATGAAATTTAAAGTGTAAGATTTAGTGAATCTGGAGATTGGAACTGAAAATTTATTTTAATGGACTTGGTGACTTCCATTAAAAAGAATCCTTACTATAAACATCAAAGCATTTTGTAAACACTTATAATGATTTACAAACTCATTTAAATACAGATATACTTCTACAGTTTCCTCAGTCTGGTTTCATTTTTTTTAAGCTTGCTTTATTTACCTCAATTTGAGCTAAACTCCTGGCACACCATGGAGTTGAAGTTTCCTCCAAAGTGAAGTCTGAACAGATTTCAGACTCACACAGTGCCATCCAACCCTATTAATAATGTTTTAAAATAAAGTAACATCTTAGGTTGAAATTACAACAAACTTGTCTCCCATAGATAAACACACATATATATGCAAAAAAACCACACCATTTCAAATTAGCCAGACACAATGAGTTAAAAACAAAATGGGACACATGTTCCAAGCTTAAATGTTATAGTCCAGCACATATACAATATGGAATGGGAAAAGGGAAGCAGGGATTCATTACTAGCAGCTATATTTAGAAAAGTTCTGATGCAGGATATCTATTCACCTGTCGTCCTTTTGGTTGCGTTGTCGATGGCAAGTCCTGCAGAATAAAGCCAACCCAGGAGAAGAAATTTTCATTTTACTTTTTAAAAGTATACAACATAATCTGTTAACGTAATTGTTTACATTACAGAAAAATGTTAAGTTGCAGGAATGTATAAAACACTACCCTCCTCCGCCCCTCTCCCCACACTTTTTTTTTTTTTTTTTTAAAGAAATGCTTACTTCTTAAAGAAAATCAAACCCAGGCTGTTTAGCAGCAAGCTGAAGAAAGCAGGTAAAAGTTTAAGCAGATAGAAAATGTGCTTTTTTTTGGGTAATAAACAATTCAGCATCTTCAACACAAAAGCACCTGCAAGTGAAAGAGGCTTTTAATGTAATTGCCTGTTTCAACTTAATAAGATTCTTAAATTAGATATATTTTCTTCTATAAAATAAGAGATAGTGATTATAACTATTAAAGTTTATCACTGGGAAGAGATTAATAAAATGTGTCTAGGAATACATTTATGATTTATAATAATAAATTTATTTTGTCTTTAATTATATTGCAAGTTCAGTTTAATTCATAAGTGCTATCAATGTTTTCTATCCATATAACTGTTGCTCATTGTTGTAATTAAACCACTTGATCTTGTGGCTGATCATTTGTAAATTGTAATTTAATTTTTATAGTTATCAGAACAGTTGCTATGCTCTGGCTTCTTAAAGTGATTCCATTGTGGAAACTGTCAGTTTTTAGAACTGTCAGAGTGTGGGCAGCACTCTTAAAGAAGGAACTTGCAGATACAGTTGCTTTGTAATGTTTTGCTGTATAAATCAGGACAAGGACAAATGATAAACAATACAAATTTCAACATCTATAGTAGTTCAGAAATATTTGAAATCAGCAGCACCTTTCTACCTGAATACATGCTGAACAGGAAGTACTTTGTGTTAAAGATGTGATGGGAATAGCTTGGATTGTAGTGCAGTTTAAAGCCACTTCCTTTTGCTTTTCATATCCAGGCAAGGCTCATATTTCACAAAGTATGTGCACGTACCACAACAGCAGAGGGCACACCAATTCCTTAACTCAGATAGCGGACACCAATACACATTCCAGAGGTTTCTCAAAACACAAAACTTAAACCCCTGTAAAGCCCTAAAATATGTGCTCTGCAATTACTCTTTCGTGAACCATCATTTCAAAAGTTTAGAATGGAAATGAAACTTCCACTTAAAATCCTTTCACAGCTTTGAGGAAACTAAGACCTAGCCCTTGCTAAGAACATTTTAAGGATGGGTAAAAGTGACATGTTTCAGTTATTAATATTTAAGTCACTAAATGGATTTAAATAAGAAAAATATGTTGTTGATAAATAGGGTTTTCTCTGATTTAAAAAAATCTTCAATTTGTGGTTTACAAAAGTAACCCCAAATCCACATTTCTCCGTGATTAAACTAAAACACCACTAATACATAGACAGATATATAGTGGTGCTTCATATTAATCATGAAAAAATGTGGATTTTAGGTGACTTTTTTTAAACTGAAAATTGGGTTTTTTTATTATCAGAGAAAACCTGTTGATAAATCCTTAACAGGAGAAATCAGGGAGTAATAGCTGTAGTAGACTTAATTATATCAGCAGAACACAATTTTCCACTGAACACATGTATTTATAACAGTAATGGGAGATGAGCACCAACAAAATTTGCACACTTTCTCTGTCTGGAACTGGAGGTCTTACCGAAACAGAATTGTTAGTGCTGCTATGACCATTAGCTGGGGACTGTCTGGATGTAGAGGGGGAATCTCTCTGAAATAAGACACAAGGTTCATTAACACACAACACTATCACAGGAACACAGATATATTTAAATGAACAGTTACATCCACAGCTTTATAACCAATTCCTGAGCTGTTTCATTTGCAAAAGCTTGCACACTACAAACTGCATTAAATTTGAAAGTTTTGCGCAATTTAAAAAGTAGACTGATTTATTTTATCCTATAAATTTAAATAGTACTATTACCTCAGCAGTCAGGCAGCCTTCTCAATACTCCAACGTTTGGGACCACTTAAGAGTTGCCTCACATGGCTAGCTAAATGTTACAGGTGATGTAGCCACATTAAATTATCTGTTAAATCTGTTTTAAAATCATATGGTGAATGATTTTAATAGGACATGGAAAAGCAGTTATCAGCATAACACTGATTCAGAACAAATTCTGTATTTTTTTCAAGGACATTAATGTTGGGCATGATGAATTTCTGCTCCAGATGTCCCTATTTGCATTTTCTCAACCATTATGGACCCACGAATGGAACTGGCACTTGTGATGTAGTAAGTGGTATTTTTCTTTTGCGTTTTATGGCTTTGCAATTAATTTTTTTTTTTTTTTTTTTTTTTTTTTTTTTTTTTTTT